GCCCCCACTCTGGCCCTGTGTATCTACATAAAACTATATCCCTCCCCCCTCAAATTAACTGATTCTTTATTATTTGATCCTACATGTGAATACAATTTACTACTTAATCTTTTATTCATTTGCCCAGCACATGCGAAATGCTAATCTAATCAATGAGTCTGACTTGTTTTATTCTTAATTTAATTTGTTATTGGCTGCTACAAATCAAGGAGGGAGAAAGTCAGACAAGACTGGCCTTCATAATCAGACATTTGAATTCAGTGTTCTGAAAAAAATCCTCTAACTTTTATGCTGCATAGCACTAAGAAACCATAAAACTCTGAAAAAGCTAGCATAGCATGCAACAGCTGTAGCACATAATTACTTGGCCCAGACATAGTAGTTTTAAAATACTGGTCTATCTGTTGCAGGCCACCATACATTATCATATCATTTTCTTCAGTAAAAAAGACCTCGATGATTCAGTTGAACTTCAATGGAATTAGAATCATGTGTGCTTTGAAATATTTACGCTTGCCTTGATATAGGAGGATTATCCCCCCACAGACAGACAAAAGATTTATTAACATTGGAGATATCTACCTCTGCATTCTTACTGCAGGTAGAAATGACTGACTTTCAAACCTGCATTCTTTTTATTTTTTGTTATATTCAGTGGGTAAAACCCATATTATAATATAAAAGAAAGGCATAATTAGGCTGCTTAGGGCTTTTGCATAATAAATATATAAATTAAAATAACTTTTTTGTTGTCTTACGTCTAAGGATTTCAGATCACAACCATTGATTAAGGTTCACTTTACCCGCTATGAAGTAACAGTTGGGAAACTGAGGCACAGAGAATTTAAGGCCAAAATTTTCAGATGTTTCCATGGATTATGAGTGACTAACTCCAGATAATTCAAGCATTGTCTTTGCCACTTTCATGGATACTTTTGAAAAAGTTGGCTGAATCAGCTTTCCCAAAGATCCCAGTGACTAACACGGCTACACTGTCTATCACTATCCCAGTGAGTGTTTTTCAGAGGCAGGACTGAAAACCTGGTCTCCTGATTCCTAGTCCTGTATTCTAGCTCTTAGATAATGCTAGTAGGATCTATCAACTGATACAGTGCATTGTTTGGTGGAGAGTTTTCATATATCTTTGACCTTTGTTAAAAGTCTTACTTAGGAATACAAATTCTTGAGACTTTGAAGCAGACTCGTGCAGTTTATTGGCTTCTTGTTGAGTGGACAAATGGGTGTCATATTCCTTTAATAGTGCAGAGATACTAGTTAAGAAGTCCAGTTTTCGCAATTAGGTTATTACAGTTTAATAGCTGAGGTGGTAAATTTTTGCAAAATCTAAACTAAGCTTGCTATTTCAAGCATCTGGGATAAGGAATGTATATATAACACTGGCTATGAGCATGCTACACCTGAAGGCAGATTAGTTTTTACTATTTGCACAGCTCTACTGACAGCTTTTCTTGGGACCCTCCCACAGAATTGGGAATTGGTCTAAAGAGTTGATGCCAAAAGTAACAACTAAAATGAAAAGAATTTAAGTATCTATCCAACCTATGTAAATCAGCAATGGTTCAATGAATAGGGAAGAGGCAACTAAATCAACGTTGCAGGGCTGAATACAAATCACTTCTCTAAAAAAAATTTTAATGAAAAATTCAGGGGGGGGGGGAATTGGTGTTAAATGAACTTGTGAAGAGTCAGCTGCAATAGTGAAGAGAACAGGAAACAAGAGAGCAATATGGATTCTTATGAAATGTCTTCAGAGAGCAAAGGAGAAGAAAAATCAGCTTGAATTTGAACAGTTTGGCTGTGTCTACATTGGCACCCTTTTCCGGAAATGCTTACAATGGAATACTATTCCGTTTTCAGTTTTTCCGGAAAAGACTACTGGGCTGTCTACACTGGCCGCTTGCTTTTCTGGAAAAGCGTCTGTGGCCAATGTAGACGCGCGTTTCCGCAAAAAAGCCCCGATCGTCATTTTCGCGATCGGGGCTTTTTTCCGGAAAAGACTACTGGGCTGTCTACACTGGCCGCTTGCTTTTCTGGAAAAGCGTCTGTGGCCAATGTAGACGCGCGTTTCCGCAAAAAAGCCCCGATCGTCATTTTCGCGATCGGGGCTTTTTTCCGGAAAAGACTACTGGGCTGTCTACACTGGCCGCTTGCTTTTCTGGAAAAGCGTCTGTGGCCAATGTAGACGCGCGTTTCCGCAAAAAAGCCCCGATCGTCATTTTCGCGATCGGGGCTTTTTTCCGGAAAAGACTACTGGGCTGTCTACACTGGCCGCTTGCTTTTCTGGAAAAGCGTCTGTGGCCAATGTAGACGCGCGTTTCCGCAAAAAAGCCCCGATCGTCATTTTCGCGATCGGGGCTTTTTTCCGGAAAAGACTACTGGGCTGTCTACACTGGCCGCTTGCTTTTCTGGAAAAGCGTCTGTGGCCAATGTAGACGCGCGTTTCCGCAAAAAAGCCCCGATCGTCATTTTCGCGATCGGGGCTTTTTTCCGGAAAAGACTACTGGGCTGTCTACACTGGCCGCTTGCTTTTCTGGAAAAGCGTCTGTGGCCAATGTAGACGCGCGTTTCCGCAAAAAAGCCCCGATCGCGAAAATGGCGATCGGGGCTCTTTTCCGGAAAAGCATCTGCTTTTCCGGAATAAGTGGCCCAGTGTAGACACAGCTGATTCATGTCTGTTTTACTTCATGGCCTCTGATTAAAATATGCATTTGGATTTACACGTATAGCAATTCCATAGTAATGGCTTCTGTCACTGAGGTGGGTTTCTTGGTATATCCATCATAGACCTGGGTTTTGCCACCCCACCGCCCCGGAATTAATCAGAGTATAGGAGCAATCATAGAGGATCAGAACAGTGGTATTGTAAGAGATCAGGGTCTAGCCAGTCTTGCCTAGAGGTCACAGCTGGGCTGAGGTCTGGCCCCCAGCGAATGGAATTTCCAGACTGGAGTTTGAGGAATCTCAAGGCTAAGTCCTACAAGCAAGAGTTAGGTTAGTCTCCAGCTGGGGTCATAGACTAGAGATACTACTATGTTAGACTCAGGACACAGGGTCAATATCACTCTGGAGTCAGAGACCAAATATTTGGAGACAAAGTAAAGTCTGGCATTGCACCAAGCCAAGATCTCTGTGATGGCCCAGACAACTTCCTGGGGTTAAGTAAGAGCACTTGGCCAATAGGGTGGCAAGGTACTGTCATTCTGGGTCTTGTGGGTGTTACTTCCTGTGACACCTACTCTCCACAATGCTCTTTGGCCATGCAACCTCCTAGTAGCACTATGAGACTGTCAGCTGCCTCAGTCTTTGCAGATCTGGGTTCTAATTCTTTGGTGCATTCTGAGCCAAGAGATCTCACACTTTGATGCATCTGTAGGAGTAATGTGTCACATTACAACTAATAAACTAACCTTTTCTAATACTTTGAGGCCCACATCCCACTCTTATGAAAAAAACTAATATGAATCCAATAGGATGCTGCAATAACAAACCTGCTGTGGATCTTTTATTCTTAACCCCAAGCCATATGTGATAATGTCTTCAACCTCCAAGACTGTACAAGCTTTTATGATGTAATAAAGTAAAGAAACATGCAATCAAATTGCCAATGTATCAAGTTAGAAAAATTAGCTTTTGTTTAGTTAAGGTCCTTTTATAACAATCGTTGATAAATGAGTGCTTATTTCTGCCCTAAGTGATTTTGGCTTATTCTTCTACATCCCTTTCCCATATACTGTTAAGTGAGCCTGTGCTTTGTTTTTTGCCATGTTTTAAACATACTCCAAGTCCAGTGCAAGCATTTCAGATAGAGACTGAATGCTTTCCAAGGCTTTTCTCAAAACAGTTCTTCATGGTTTACAAATGAGGTACATGATCAAAGAAGGCAATAGAAATCCAATAGAACTGATGTGTGTAAGGGAGCTACATGTAATACAAAGTGATTAGTTTTTAATGAGAAATAACCTGAGTATGAGAAAAAAAGCTTATACCCAATAAAGTCAATGGGTTTTGATGCAGAGAAAATAAACTCATTCTAGAGAAAAGATGCAAAATTCTGCTCATGTAACATGGCAGCTTTAGTTACACAATAATGTGTTGGTGGAAGTGGATATGAATATAGAATATTCTAACTTGCATGGCAAGGGACTGGATAAAGGTATCCTCTTTAGTGTGGGGGAGAGAAGGGATATTTCTGTTCTCATTTACATCTCTACAATTCTGTTGAGATCAGTAGTGATGCATGGATTAAACTGAAAGCAAAGTTTTCAAAAGGGGCTCCTTTAATGTACCCTTTACTGTACTGTTTGTAGCTTTTCTTGCTACCCTTCTCCTATGTGGTTTCCTGTGTACATTCACCAATTTAGATTTCCTTAACCATCGTTCATTAATGTGGTATAGAGGCTGGTTTGAGATTTGATATCAGAGTTGTATCAGGGAGCTGTGCACGTCATTTGCAAAATGTGCTTGCCACTTTGTACATGAGCATCGCATGAAAACTGGCTACTTAAAAATGTTTCCAAAGTGGTGTGAAATGACACATACGAGGTACAAGAGCATCATTAAAACGTTGTCCATTTATAGTACAAAATAAAAATAGACCCATGTGTGCAAACCAGTTAAATGAAATGTCAATTAAATCAACTCTAATCTCCCAAATACAGTTTTATTGCTCAATTCATTAGAAGGGCTCTTAAGGTAATGAATAGTTGTCACTTTTATCAAGGACCGTTGGTTCTTTTATATATGTGCACTATAACCACAGAAAGTTGTTTTAAAATATTTGGCTCCATTTACCCTCAGCAGTGTATCTGAAGTGACTGCAGGACACAAAGTGCTATGATATAAAAATTATGAACATCAACTATATCAATAATAGTGTACATTTTAAAAGACAAAATAGAGCTATAGTGTAATTCATATGCATAGATTGAACTAATGCAAAAAATCTGCTCCATGTAACTTCTATGTTTTCTTTCTTATAGCAAGTCCACATGCAACACCATCGACTCTTCATTTTCCAACATCACCCATTATTCAGCAGCCCGGGCCATACTTCTCACACCCAGCAATCCGCTATCATCCTCAGGAGACTCTGAAAGAGTTTGTCCAACTTGTCTGCCCGGATGCTGGTCAGCAGGCTGGACAGGTGGGGTTCCTAAATGTAAGGAAGCCATTTTTATTTCTTCAGAAGTGTTTGTCCTATGTCACATAACCATGGAATTATCTCAACAGCATGTTACATATGTGAACATAGCAGCTTAAATAGTTGCTACAAAGAAAAAAGATACTAACAACAGTAAAATAAACTTAAACTAATTAATGTACTTGGGCAATCAGAAAAGGCGGGTGGTTCAATCATCTTCTGGGATCCTTAATATAGATGATTCAGCTTTAGACATTTGAACCCTAGTTCCGTTGGGTTTAGCAAAATAGAAAGGCCAAATAATTTTTATTAATTATTCCTTTGGCGTTGGGGAGAAGAGCAAGAAAAGGGAGGGTGAGAAACAGATGTTTCAGATCAGCTAAGTTCATTTTTAAAAAAATCTACTGTCATACAGCACTTTAGATCAAGTTGACCAGTACTTGAACCCAAGATGTTAAAAGTACAGTTTGTTATTTCTGTGTGCAGTTATCTTCCCCCCCTTATCTCTATGAAGAATTAAGCAGTATTCCAATGCTTCAAATATTTTTTAATCAACTAAAGTGAATCATCCTCTTCACTTTATTGAAACAACATACCAGTCAAATACAGAAATGAAATTTTATTTACATTGTGTCTACAATACTGCTGTGAGTGTTTCATGAAATATAATCCATGTAATTATGTCCCTCCAGCAAAATAACGATTGGCAAAATTACTGTGTTTTTACATTTATACCACTGAAAATGTTAAGGAACCTGCAGAACTAATGTAGCATTAATTTTATTTAACAAGCTAAATTGTCTTCATATACCTTTTTCCTACCAAAATATCTGATTCTGCACAATCCAGCCAGTACAGGTTTTGAATAATGTCTGCAATATGTTAGCAGATACATTAATGTCTAGACAACAAATCAATACAGTGTATTTCTTTTTCCTTGAGTATTCATTGCTTAGTTTAGCCCAAACCATTCTGCATTATGAACTATTAGCATACTCCCAAGGAACATACTGCAAAGTTCTACTTGGTAGCAAAGTGAGATAATTGTAAGACAAGAAAGTGTTTCAGAATTGTTATTAAATATATCAGTTTATTAATAATAAAGTTCAATAATAAAACTCTCTCTAAATATCTCTTTTGACTAAGGCCTTGACCCCACAAACATTCCTTGAAGGCAATACTACTACTTCCACATGTGAAGTTACATACATATACGAATTCTTATTTACAATATGGACCTTTTACATCACTGGCAGTGGAAGTTAGTTATACCCATGTTCAGGCCTCTTTACACTGCTATGGTAGTAGGTAAAGTAGCTTTAGCGTAAATGAGAATCAGGCCTCTAAATGGTATAGGATTGGGCCTTAGTCCTAAATAATTATTAGTGAAAACCTAAGCCAAGATTTAAGTACAGTTTTTCTTCAGCAGTGTTCAGAGTATGTATCTGAACTAAGCTTTTATCAATGGAAAATTGGACAGTCAGTGCCAGAAGAACTGCAGTTAGGATCAATTTGTGGAGTGCTGTCAAAACGGATCTTATCATTTCTGTCTCTAAAACAGAATCCTTGATTCACAAACTGTCCTACATTTTTCTTCCTAATGGTCTTGCCATCAATAGGCATGGTTCTCAATAGTCTAGTTTCATATTAAGATTGAAATTTTCCATGCTCAGTCCTTGTTATTGTGATGCTGAAAGCTTATTTATTAATGGGCAGAGTTTTCCTAGCAATCACTTGAAATAGTGTGGCTGAGTATGCAGACTCATCCTGCCTCTGATTATGTACATCCAAAACAAAATATTTGTATTTTTTTAATATATAAAATTAAGCATAAGTAAGTTCAGTAGTTTCTAAGAAGCCTCCTAATGGCAGCTGAACTGGGAGCTGTGCTATTGGTAATTTTATGGGAATGTGCGAGTGCAGGTTGCTTAAAATATATTCACTTATTTTTTTTCATGAAATAAAATACCTGCTTGACATTTAAACCACCTCAAAATTCCCTCTTTTATTATACTGAACAGTTTTTTTTTATTTAAACTTATGACACAGGCATATGTATCCCAAGGATATAATAGAGGTATGAGTGCAGAAAGTGTAACAGGAGACAAAATTCTGCCTAAATTTGTACTGTAGGTAACTTAGTTGTTACACAGTGCAAGAGTATAATTTGCTCCAGGTGGATTCTGACCAGTTGTAAGCTTTGGAGAAACACACACTTAATTGAGTGACTTTCTTGCCTGCAAAAAATTGGGCGGAAGGGGGACTTATACAGTTATTTCAAGATTTTGAGATGGGTTGCGATACAACGCCCATTAAAGTAAGTGAAGAACAAACAGAAAATGGCAATTTTTCATCCCAACCACTTTACTTATTTTGCATTGAGAAATTAAGCGTTTATTTTACAGAATTTGAAACTGGCCTCTCTAGCTAATTTTTTCTTTTGTTTTTGGCAGCCCAATGGCAGCAGCCAAGGCAAGGTGCACAATCCATTCCTTCCTACTCCAATGTTGCCACCGCCACCGCCGCCACCAATGGCTAGGCCTGTGCCTCTGCCCGTGCCAGACACAAAACCTCCAACTACATCAACAGAAGGAGGTGCCGCCTCTCCTACTTCACCAAGTAAGTAGGGATGCAACAAGGGAGAGAGAGTTTAATAAGGTTCACACTGTTGCAGCTACCATGTGTCTTCTGTTCACTAATGAGGACGCAGAGACTGTGCTCCAAGTTAATTTCACAGTTGTTAATTGCATAAGTTTGACAAAAATCATAACTTGTTGTTTTAACATGACACTGCTGGCATTGCACATAGTTACACATTAGAAAACTCATGGACAAAAGCTAACATATGGGATGGAGCTGGGATATTCAGGATGCTTAGTAGTTATTGAAGCAGCTATGTTGCTGGTCTTCCACAATCACTAGGGAACTACATAGAAGTCAAACCCACATTAAGGGTACGTCTACAATATGTGGAAGATCGATGCTGCTGCGGTCAATCTTTCAGGGTTCGATTTAGTGAAAACACACTAAATTGAACTCAGAGGGCACCACAGTCAGCACCGGTACTCTTGCTTCTCACAAGGAATAAGGGAAACTGACAGTCGCTTTTGCTCCCGTTGACCTCCCATTGGGCAGATGGTGATTTGAGAAACGTTGACTCCAACTACACAATTAACATAGATGGAGTTGCGTATCTTGGGTCGACCTTCCTCTCCATTGTAGACCAGGCCTTAGGGTCTCACTTCTTGTACAGAGCAGGCCACCCCTGGACCTCACCCTTTGATAGTTTATTGGGGAATAAGTCTTTCTAGATCAGGGATGGGGAACATCAGGCCCAGGAGCTGGACACAGCCCATGGCTTGCCTAGATCTGGCCTCCAAGGCTCAGCATTGGGGATCCTAAGTTAGAGCTCCAGCCACCCAACCAGCCATCCGCAGGAGTGGAGCACACAAAATCTACTAGCCTGGGCTCTCCTTGGCTCTGGTGTGTGAGGGGAATTTGGGGAGTGTCTTTCTCTTTCTCAGTCAGGGGCTTCTCACTTTACTTCTCACTTTTGTGTGGGCCCCTGACTGATTTTTCTGTGGGTTAGTGGCCTCTGACTCAAAAAAGGTTCCCTACTCCTGTTCTAGAAGAACCCATACTCTGTATCATTATGACCAGCTCCCTGCCAGATCTTGCTTTTGGGGCAGGTAGATTGTAGTATTTCTTCTCCTGAGCGGGGAGAGAAGTAACACTCTCTTTACTGTCCATATAGCCCTCCTGTATTTTGTGTGGCCACAAGGCCAATAAAATGCAAATTCCTGCATGCAAATTCCTGCATGCACATTGGAGCCATGTTTTTGGATTATTAGGAAGCAAATCCGTGTACCTGGCTTAGAAGTTTTAAAAGCTTTGGGCATGCAAGGAGTTCATTGTGACTGATTTGATGAAACTATACTCAAATTGTCATTTAAAAACAAAGTTTTCAGTACTTTAAAGGCAGGGGGACTTGTTCCACAATGAAATGAGTCCAAGATAAAGCAGTCTTTATTGGAATGATGAACGTTTTTATTTCAAATGCCTCCTTGAGAGTTTACGATTTCAGAGATGGCCTGTGAGGAAGCACATTAGATAGATTAGATGGAGGGTGCCTAAAAATCAATGTACTCCAAAGAGCAAACCCGTGTATTCTTTCAAATCCATAGTATTTAAATGCTGCATGTGATCAGTACTTGATGTCCAAAGAGGTATGTATTATTCAACAAATATAAAGCCCAAGTTCGTAAAGCTTTAGGCACAACTCAGGCTTTTCATACCTCAGAAGCCAGCACATCAACTGTGACATGGTGGGTTCCATGGACATTGAAAAGGCCTGCAGTTTGTTGTGGTTTTTTTCATGGCATTCTTTCACTGGACAGGATTGTTTGCGTTTTGACTTGCTTGGGAATTGTAACTGACAGAAAGGTTGAGAAGGTGGAATTTAAGACTATGGGATTTAAGCTAAGACAGGCCCTTAACTTAGAAGTGTTGAGACGTCATGGCTGCTACTACTGGTCAGAAAATTTCTGTCAATGAAATTTTTATTAATTCCCTCCCCCCATTTTCTAACCATATCTGACCAACACTTTTTATATCATGAATCTGTTTGTCATAGCACTGTTGAGATCAGCTATCAGTTAATGCTTTCTAGCTCTGTAATAAGATTCAGGAGTAGGTCACTACACCCTGGTCTGCACTAGGGAGTTATTTCAAAATAATGCCCCTCATTTTGAAATAATAAGCGGAGCATCCAGACTACCAACCCCATTATTTCAAAATAACGGGCTGGTTATTTCAAAATCTGTACTCCTGCTTTCCTAGGGGAATAACGCTTATTTTGGAAAAGTTATTTTAAATAGCATTAGTGTGGACACTCCACTGCTGCTATTTCGAAATAACTACTCACCGGAGTAATTTGAAGTAATTACTTCCTAGTGCTTCCTGGGGCTCTTAAGTCGAGGTAGCGGGTCCACAATAACAGAGCCTGCCTCAGTCTAATTTTGAGGCTCCCCCATAGGAAGAACACTCTGTTTCGATTTTGTTATTTTGGGAACTATTGTTCCAAATTTAGTTGTTTTGAAATAATTTCCTAGTGTAGACGTGACCTAAAAGAATTAACATTTACTCACTGATGAGTGGTATTTGAGTAACTCAGTATTTCCTTGTCTTTAGAGTTGGAAAATATGAAGTCAGTATACTGTACATGCCATCATTTGTAAATATAGTACCTAATTTAGTGGAAGCTTGTGGCATTTAAAAGAAAACCATTTTAACAGTTTTACCATAAGGTTTATTTTATGTGATCCTTGGATTTATGAACAACAAATGTGTATTTGACCCAGTGCTCAAGTGATGTAAATTGACTTACTTAAACTTATCAGTGGAGTGACACTGATTTACACTACCAGATAATCTGGCCCATTGTGGCAAGGAATCTTCAACCACAAGCTGTCAAGAAAATCCAGGTTTTCTCAAAAGCATCTAGTTAATGGTATTTAAACAAGAGATTAGAAAAAAATAATTACTGTTGGTAATTAGTCATTCTGTACATTTTGAGGCATGCACCTTCTGTTTGATAAGTCATGACAGTTTAACGGAAGTGTGAAATGAGTTTTAAAAATATGTGTAATACAATTGAAGTCCACATTTTATGGAAATGTGGACTATATGAATGATATAGTAAACTCTCAAGAGAAATAAAATATATCACATGCATGCCTAAGTCTGTTGAAACATGTACACAGCAAGAGTAAGTGCCAGGACTTTTCCATGAGAGGGCATCCACTTTTAACAGTTTCAAAAGGGGTCAAATGGCATGGATCTAATCTAATCTACTCCATTGTCATTTCTTCCAGCAGAATAGTTGTGCACGCGCACATACACACACACAAACACACACACAGACACACATGTTTGTCTTGCAAGACAATCCTGTCACATAACATTCTACAAATTTAGAAATGATATCCTGCAAAATGGGGGACGGGTAACACATCTCTCGAGACGATAGCTAGGGAATTCTGCTGGCATACTTCAGAAAATGTCCGTTAGAGTCAGTAATTTCCTGGATTCCAATCTACTCCTTGCTTTCATTATACTGTGGACTTTGTTGCTTATTGTGGCCCTTAACTAAGTGTAAAAACCATCAAAGTATATTGGTATCTGTTTCCTTAGGCAGTACCTTGAGCTCAGAATAAGTAATATACCATGAAAAGAAGTCCTTGCTGAAGAGTGTTTTGCTACCGGATGAGGGTTGGTTTGTTTTATTACATATTAGAGTACAAATAGTACAGAGTCACCAAAATTACCCGTAAACATGTTTTCCATGGTTACAGAGTTCCAAGGCTAGAGATGGGTCGACCTTCCTCTCCATTGTAGACCAGGCCTTAGGGTCTCACTTCTTGTACAGAGCAGGCCACCCCTGGACCTCACCCTTTGATAGTTTATTGGGGAATAAGTCTTTCTAGATCAGGGATGGGGAACATCAGGCCCAGGAGCTGGACACAGCCCATGGCTTGCCTAGATCTGGCCTCCAAGGCTCAGCATTGGGGATCCTAAGTTAGAGCTCCAGCCACCCAACCAGCCATCCGCAGGAGTGGAGCACACAAAATCTACTAGCCTGGGCTCTCCTTGGCTCTGGTGTGTGAGGGGAATTTGGGGAGTGTCTTTCTCTTTCTCAGTCAGGGGCTTCTCACTTTACTTCTCACTTTTGTGTGGGCCCCTGACTGATTTTTCTGTGGGTTAGTGGCCTCTGACTCAAAAAAGGTTCCCTACTCCTGTTCTAGAAGAACCCATACTCTGTATCATTATGACCAGCTCCCTGCCAGATCTTGCTTTTGGGGCAGGTAGATTGTAGTATTTCTTCTCCTGAGCGGGGAGAGAAGTAACACTCTCTTTACTGTCCATATAGCCCTCCTGTATTTTGTGTGGCCACAAGGCCAATAAAATGCAAATTCCTGCATGCAAATTCCTGCATGCACATTGGAGCCATGTTTTTGGATTATTAGGAAGCAAATCCGTGTACCTGGCTTAGAAGTTTTAAAAGCTTTGGGCATGCAAGGAGTTCATTGTGACTGATTTGATGAAACTATACTCAAATTGTCATTTAAAAACAAAGTTTTCAGTACTTTAAAGGCAGGGGGACTTGTTCCACAATGAAATGAGTCCAAGATAAAGCAGTCTTTATTGGAATGATGAACGTTTTTATTTCAAATGCCTCCTTGAGAGTTTACGATTTCAGAGATGGCCTGTGAGGAAGCACATTAGATAGATTAGATGGAGGGTGCCTAAAAATCAATGTACTCCAAAGAGCAAACCCGTGTATTCTTTCAAATCCATAGTATTTAAATGCTGCATGTGATCAGTACTTGATGTCCAAAGAGGTATGTATTATTCAACAAATATAAAGCCCAAGTTCGTAAAGCTTTAGGCACAACTCAGGCTTTTCATACCTCAGAAGCCAGCACATCAACTGTGACATGGTGGGTTCCATGGACATTGAAAAGGCCTGCAGTTTGTTGTGGTTTTTTTCATGGCATTCTTTCACTGGACAGGATTGTTTGCGTTTTGACTTGCTTGGGAATTGTAACTGACAGAAAGGT